AGAGACATAGCAATGCTCTCCTCAAACTAACTGCACCATGGCATCACAAGGCCTTCCAGCAAAATAGGCATTATCTCATTTTCCTCCAGCAAACTTTGGCAAAAGCGAAAGGCAGCTGCAAGAAGTGAGTGCCCTTCCGCACAGAAGGATGGGCCATGCTGCAGGCACTGGGGCATAAAGCAGGCCAGCAAAGCAGCTCAGTGGTCAGTTTCGTTGATGTCCTTCCTGCGCTTGTGCTTTGGGACACCAAGATGCAAACACCACAGCTTCCTGCCAGCTCCAATGGTGCTGCTCTGTGGGTTTGAGGCTGGGCAGAGCAGCCAAGCGGGGAGAATGGCTCGATTTACTGCTAGAGTAAACAGATTTTAACTTCTCTGAGCTCTCCAGGGCTCGCACCAGAGAGTACTGCAGCAGTATTATTTGTGTGTCAATATTTTCTTGCCCTCAAGAGAAAGGTACTCAGGAAAGCAGCCTGCCTGCTGCACCCAACAGGCTGCCAGCAGTGGGCTGGTTAGGCTGGGTTTTTTATTCCTCTGGGGGAAGAAAAATTTACAAATTTGCCTGAGAGTAAAAATACTAACGAAAACTGAAGCTTGACAGCACTGAATGCAAGAGATAACATCTTTAAATGGGCACATGCAAAAGCCTGTGCCACAGCAAACGTGCTCAGCATCCAGTCAGCTTCCTGCTGCTGGTCTGAGAGCAGGAATGGTAAGGAGTCAATAACATAGCACCTTACAGTCTGAATCTGATGTGTTAAAGGTGATGATCTCCAAAGAAACAGCCTGAAAACATAATATACAGGGGCACAAAGTTTTCAGAACCTGGCTGTATTTTAAAGGGTGCAATCAGCCAGGAAACCATACATCAGAGAAAAACATGGAAAAGAACCCAAACCTAACAGCTATCTTCCAGAGAAGAGTTGTGGCACTGAGGTCTGAGAGATTTAGTCATGAGGAAATGCTATTCAAATAGACAGAACAGTTGCTACCTTATAAAAAGCAGAGCCCTCGACTCCTTCTGCAGCCCCAGCTGTAGCCAGGGACTCCCAAGGGACAGAGGGAGGGATGGGGACAGCCAGGTGAGATGCACAACCAGAAGCCACATTCACTGCCACACACTGAGCAGAAAACTAGGGCCTGGCCCTGGACAGACTGAGCTGACTCTGCTCTCATTATTTTTGGGACTGGAATACTTTCGTGCACAAGAATCTTGCCATACTCCATAGGGAAGGCAGCAGTGGCAGCTCCAGACACCTGCAGGAATCTGGGTTAACACTGTATGATTCATAAACACACCTGGATAAATTTAGGCTTGGGCCTATCATTTCATTTTTTTCATTCCATTGTTTCAGTTGAGTTTCAGGAAGGATCATCCTGCCTTCACAAGAGTCTTCAAGCAGCTCTCTCTCTTCAAAACTGCAAAAAAACAAGCCCAGGTGAGGGATATTCACAGTAGCTGAGGCCAAAGACTCCTATAAAAGGGGGATGAGTCTCCTTGTGCTGAATTCACAAATGCAGGAGCAGTCTCTGCTCTCTCTCTCCTTTTTCTTAAATGCCACCACTCCTCTTTCCCAGATTCAGAGCAGTCCTCTCTGTGATAGCAATACCTCACACATACAGGACTTCAGCCTTCAGCAACAAGGACAAAATCCTTGGTTTCCTAAGGATCCAAGACTCATGGTGTCACACTGTGAACGTGACCATGTCAGCCTATGCCTTTCAAATACGTGTTGCTTTGAAACCACTGGGCACTGCAGCAGAGCCTCTATCCATGGGGATGCTCAAAATTTGACCTAACAAGATTCCACGCAACCTGACCTGACTTTGCAGTTAGCTCTATTTAGACTGGGCAGTGGGCCAGGTGACCTCCAGAGGGCCCATCCAACCTGAATTACTCTGCAATTCTGCAGTTACTGTCAATCAGCTCTGAGAGGAGTGGTGTTGTAGAGATAAGAAGCTCCTACAGGCCTGAGACAGAAGACTGCTTTCCTAGGTCCATGCTGAAGAGGTTGCTGTGTAATTAACCTTTCACTAGAGACTAGAAAGTTCATAAAGAGTCCAGGGAGGAGAAGGTTGTACACCTGCCCTAACAAACTGCAATGTCTTCAGAGCGAGCAGCAAGCACACTGCTGCCTCCCAGCCACAGTGGATGCGGATCACCATGCAGTGAGGGATCAGTGCTATAGCTACGTTCAGCAACTCCCATGCGTGGACATCTCTTGAAGGAGCTTCAAACACCTAAGCCCTGGGAAGAGGGAGAATTTAGCAAATATGCATGCCCTTCCCAGGCACACACCTATCTTCTTTTGCACAGCTGCTCAAGCAGGGTGGGGGCTGCTGTTTTTGGTGCTTAGCTGTCTTTCTTGCTTCTGAGAAGAATTGGAGTTGCCTGCCTTTCTCCTTCAACTAGTCCTACTTTTCAGATGGCTGAAGAGCAGCAAAGCCTTCTCCTTGCAAGTGAGAGTTTACGTTGGAAACAAACATTCGTCTATCTATAAGAACTCTGGCAGCCCTCCAGGCAACAGCTCTTGCTTACCCAAGCTCACAGTGGAGCTTGTTGAAGCCAGACTCTCAGCCATGCAGGACATGCTGAAAGGCAGAAATTCAGGGACTTTGCAAGCAGAAGCTATTGCTGAAAGGCATAAAGCCTTTGAGACACTTTGTCAGTGCCAAGTGTGAGGGGTAGGGAGCTTAAAACACAGCTAGAAATGATAGGCCACTGCAGCTTTCAGTACATAATGCATAGGGCACTGCCATCTCCTGGAAGCCTGCAGTGATGTGCCAGCATGTAACGTAGCCAATCTGACCCCAGAGAGAGCAGGCCATCACTGGTGTAAACAGAAGCCCTGTTTTTGGAAAAGCAAAAGCCCAGAGACAGCTCTGTTTACTTTAGATGTTTTCCCGTCCTCACACCACTGCATCTCTGGGCTTTCAGCTATAATTCTAGCACTAAGCCCAGGCTGAGCCAGAAGCAGGAGAATCTCTCCATCAACAGACTAAATACTCCTGAGAGGAGAATGAGAGCACCAGCACCAAGTTTACGTTACAAGATGCTTTCCAGCCCTGCTCTGGGCTGTTTCTTTCCCCATGCCCTTATGCAGACTCATTCTCAGTCCAGGCACCGTAGTCCTTCCTTTCCCACAGTACGCCTTCCCCAGAAGAGAACTCAAGCCATCAGTCCTCCATTGAGCCTGGCAGCTCCTTCCCAGCCACAGGAAAACTGCAGCTCTTGGCTTCTCATTGTATGCAGCCGTAACTCAAAGGTTAATTTTGAACAAAGCACCCAATTCCTCCTTCCCCACAATAAAAATTCATCAGATGAGGGTTCTTCCAGCCCTAAGTTTTTCCTGACAGCCCCTTTCCAGCCACTCTACACCTGCAGCTCCCAGCCCCAACCACAGCCATGCCCTGGGGGTGGGCCACCGGTCTGGTCCAGAGAAGTTGAAGCAAAGAGTTTTGTGCAGCCTATAGAAGAGAAACTCAGAGGGAGTTGATCACAGTCTCCTGGTGCCTAAAAATTAGTTCCAGAGAAGATGGAGGTATTCTCTTCAAAATGATTCATGGTGTCAGGACAAGAGGCAATGGGCCCAAGCTGCTTCAGGGGCAACTCTGGTATAAAGAATGTTATGTTCTGTGAAAACTACAAAGCGCTGAAGATTGTTGGGTGAAGAAGAGTTTGGTCTCCCCTACTAGAAAGACTTGTTTTGACATGGTTTTGGATAACCTAGTCCAAGATTCTGCTTTCAACAGGTCAGACCCAATGTGCCCTAGTTCATTTCCACCCTAGTTCTTCTGTGATCCTGTGAAGTCACTGCCTAACAGGATCTCACCATCTTAAAAGGGGCTGGGAGATGCTACAGAACAACCTCCAACCGAAGCTCTAGCCCTCTCTTCCCAGACCCCTGGTTTGGCAAGACAAAATTGCAAGTTTCATGCAGACTAGTGATGAAATTTAAAATTGTAGTATCAGGTTAAGAACATAGGAATATCCTACTAGCCAGAACCTGAGCCTTTTAAATAGCCAGTTCATACATCTTCCTTTGATACAGCCAATTTTGTGTCCATTACTGCTCATCAGACAAATATACACAATACTCTATATGTACTCAACAGTTGAGATAACCACACTTGAAGAACACTTTGCGTGAAGCTTACAGTGCTTCACAGGATCAATGGCATGGCTTGTCCACCACCACCATGCAAACCTGCAAGCTGCTACACACGCTCCATTAGATACAGATTGAGGAAAAATTTAGATTAGATGTCAGTGGGAAGTTTTTCACAGAGAGTGGTGATGTGCTGGCACAGACTGCCCAGAAAGGCTGCGTATGTCCCATCCCTGGGGGTGTTTAAGACCAGGTTGGATGGGCCCTGGGCAGCCGGATCTGAGATTCGATCTAGCAGTTGGCAACGCTGTCAGCAGCAGGGGGACTTGGAACTAAATGGTCTTTGAGCTTCCTTCCAACCCAAGCCATCCTATGATTCATCCAAGCCAGAGAAATCAGAATTTGCCATCATGGAGCAGATATTGAAAACTTGGAGAATGTTTGCTTCGAGTATTTACTTGACTTCTTATTCATTCCACTAATAAGAAACTACTGTTGAAACAAGTAAACTGAGAGCAAACTAAATAGTTATCTATCAGGAATGGGGCAAGCTCAGCTGAGCCCACACTAGGCTGCAGATGAACATCCCCAAGTTCCCTTCCATGAGATGCCTTCCTCCAAGCTAAACCACGCAATAGCACCAGGAGAGGTTCTGCAGTTCCCAACCCGTGCACGTGAGGCCAAACTTGAGCTGGTCACCATTAAGCACTAGTTCCTCTTTCCACCTCAAGATGTCTCGAGCAGAGAATTTCCCTCTCTGTCAGATGAGCACTGCAGAAATTGTAAAGGTGGCTCATGCTAATAGTTCACTCTGAGCCGTCATATCCACCTATCAAACACCCATGCCATCTGGGACTTCTGCAAGATTAAAAAAGAGAGACAAACAAGAGGATTATTAAAAATTTAACTATATACCATATTTATTATCAATCCACAGGATAATCTGATTGCTACATGAGCTCATAAAAGCTATTTCACCTTTACAAAATTAAAAAAAAATGTGCCACAAGGATGTAATAACTGCTGATAACCAAGGATTGAATCTTAAAATTATAAATTTGCTGTAGAAAAGATTAAAAAAAATTATATTCACTTTAGAATTTTATTTTGAATAAAATATTCCCCTGTATAAAAAATAAAAAAGCTTGCTCTGGTTAGAATTAGAGTATTCTTTTTTTTTAAATCTGGGAATTTGCATAACATCTCTGTAATAGTTTTTTTTTTCCCTATTGTACCACGCGGCATTCAAGCATAGCAGATTAGAAAACAAACACGAGAAGAGAAAAGCAGTCTTAAAATGTATGAAATCCACAAGGAAAGTTTTATCTTTCTTTCCTTTCCACTATTCTTTCGAGACACTTTAGCAAGAATAGCCTTGGAAAAGAATACAGGTGGGGAGGGACCTTCAATGTGCCATTAAGTAGAGCAAGGTAATAAAAGGCCTTTTGTAAGTGCTTTCTTAATAAGGTGCAGAAGCAGACTGCAACGTTGCTAGTACTGCACTATGTACAATATTCACAATAGATTTTTTCTTATTTAAAAATATTCCAGCTAGTTCACATTTTCTCTTCCATTCTGAGGCTTTCAGTTCCATCACAGCCTTGACAGCAATAAGCGCAGCAGCACCACTTCCCTTGTGGTCAGTTGGTCCTCTTATGAAACACTGGAACCTGCAAGTGGGCCAAAGTTCTTGTTTTATTTTCCTACGTAGCAACCCTGCAAGTCCACCTTGGGTTCAGATGTACACACTGACGGCTGGAGTCCTGAGTTAAAAACACTCCGGCACTGGAGTCAGACACAGCAATGTTTTATATTGCCAAGGCTTTCTTTACCTTAGATTTGTCTAATGTGCGTCAAGGGATGAACCTCTCCTAGAGAAACGTAAAATACAAAACCAAACAAAACAAAGCTAAAAAACACACTGTCAAAGCTTAGCAGCTCTTGACTCTCGACTGGGTGATGTCTGACGTTTTCTTGATGACGCTAGCCCGTGTCTCGCGGTCTGGCCGGCTGCTGCTAGTGGAGGCTGTGGACATTACTTGTGGCAGAGGGATGTCTGGGAAAGGTGGCCAGGAGCTGTTGTAAGGCAGCGGGCAGCTTTCTTCTTTGATGGTGACCTGGAGGTCAGGCTTGTTGGCTACAAAAGTAGCCATGCTGGGAAGCATATGAGAAGTGTTCCGCATTCCCAGATTGCTGAGATATTGTTTGCCTTCAATGTTTTTCTTCTGCCAATGAAGTCGTCCCTATGAAGGGGAAGGAAGAAGAAGGAAAGACTGCATGAGTGAACGAACTTTGCAAACGGCTCCCAGCAGTAAGATAAGGACAGAAACATGCACAAATTGCACAGGAGTTACCCCATCTCTAAAAGCCTGAGTCACCAGCAACTGGCTTTGAATATCTTTGCTTTCTGTCAGTTCTCCCTTTTAAGTCCTTTGTCTTAATCCTGGTGGCTCTCCAGCGCTCAAGACACTCTGCCCATTCTTCTCATGGAAAACAAAGACCTTATACACAGTATGCCATCGGCAAAATTGGACACAGGTGACCTAAAACTCAAGAGCTTCAAATGGAAGTCTCCTCCATTACTGGGAAGGGCTGGCACAGAGACTCAAAAGCACTGTCATCAGAGGTAAGGCTGCAAGGAAAGCCCCTTGGCAGCATGTCCACCCATCACAGGGATGAAGTCTGAGAAGGAAAACATGAGCATCCTGTCCTTTCATCATCACACATGCTGCAGTGGCACTGCAAAGGAAGGTCCCCACTGGGTTTGGGGAGATGGGGAACCCCCACCTCAGCCACCACTGGTGCAGCAGTTGGGGCATTTCCACACTTTTCTCTCTTCCTTGTAACACAAATTCTCACAGGTAGCTTGTTTTCCACCTGCTCATGGAAGTAGGAACAGTCCTCTGGTACACAGCAGAGGAATGACACTATTATAACCACACAGACAGAAGGTAGCTCTTGCTGTGTGCTAACTCAGTCTTGCCTGCTTTTGACCTCACACACCACAAACATTCAAGTTGTATTTCTATCACACGTGCAAGTGTTTCCTCCAATTGTATGAGCTCACGTGCCATTTAAGGAAAACAAAGCAAGTGTGCATCAGCTGAGATAAAATACTCACTACCCAGCAATGTCAATGCAGCGTACACATGCACGCGTGCGCAAGACAAGGTTCAATAGTTTGCTCCATGCTGACAAACCAGCTGACACTGCTGATGGCTCTGCAGAGTATTTCCTCATGAAAATCAATTTCCTTGTAGCTTCAACAGATGAGGAAGAATGAACGTGCAGAGATATCTGTTTTGCTTGAAAATCATCCCAACATTTGTCTCCCCTGGAGCTTCCTACTTTTTCTTTCTCCCCCAGCTATTAAGCATGAATGCTCCACTAGCACACAGTTGCAAACGAAGAAGTGGAAGGAATACCTCAGGTCGCTGTTTTGAAGTCTTGCTCCAAAGCATTAAAAATCCAGAAAACACTTACCTCTGCATTTTCTTCATCGCTTGGAACACTGTCGGTCGTTTCACTTTCTGTCAAATAAAACAGAAGCAAAAATGAAACCCTAGTAATTTTATCTGCAGTAACAAAATCCAGCTCAAGAGGCATGATCCACTTCATACAAGTACAAGCAAACAGAGCCAAGCCAAACAAGCAGAAAAGAATAGTAAACCACAACCCCCCTCTAAAGTAATCTAAAGGCCAGACAACACAGCATCATTGAACTATGGAGTAAATTCATATGGTTATCACAGTTAATATGGATACACTCTGGAACAGACTGCAACAGAGGTGGAAGAAGCAGGTCAATGTTACTGCTCACACTTCTGGGCAGAGAGAGACTCCTGCCAGTGGGGAATGCCTCCTCTTCCCCTTTTTGGCTCTTGGTAGCTTGAGCCCAGTTATGAGCAAAGTCCTGTGCAAATCCTTATTTTTATCTCCCTGCAAATCATCAGCAACACCACCCAAGAGGAGATAAGTGCGGTTCTGTTTCATAAACTGTTATCTCAGTTTGCCACCTCAAGACTTCGTTATCAGTTCTTGCACCTTATTACTGCTGTTACACTTTGCTTTTGTTTCAGTTTTGCCCTGCCTCCCATTTTATTCCTCATCCTTCTGCCCAACACTCCAGCACAGAGAAGTGGGCAGCCCCAGCACCTCCCACTTCCAAACAGAGCACAGAGACACACACCAGCTGCCACTCCTCTGCACGGGGGGGGGGGGGGACAGGACCGCAGCTCCAGCAAGATGACCACCCACCTGCAGCTCAGCCCTTGCTTGCAGAAGAGCCCCACTGTATTTTCAAGCCCTCTAGGTGGCCCTGCTAGAGCAGGGGTAGGACCACATGATCTCCCTGCATGTCTCCAGACAGACTGGCAACTCCCTGCTCTTCCCCAGAAGCTCAGCTTAGGACCAGGTTTAGGCAAAGGGCCATTACCTCATGGGCTCAGTTGTTCTTTCAGATGCAAGGATCTAAACTGCACTCAAAGTCCTTCTGAAATAAGTAAGCAGGCAGCTCATCTGCTAAACACCTTAACTTCCACAGCTGGCACCTTGCCTACTCCAGAGTCCCAGCCACAACATGCAGCAAGGCAGAGGATCTAACTGTGAAGCCCTATGAAGTTAACACTCTGCAGGGCTCCTCATTCACTGGCACAGGTATAGAGAGATGTGACAACATGACAAAGTTGGCTAATTAAGCCAGACTAGGAGGGAGGGAAAGAGGAAGGAGAGGCAGAAAGTAATCTATACGAAAGGAGAAATGGTCCCAGAGACAGTCAATAGGAGGAATCCACACAGAGACAAGAAACACATATTCCTTGACATGAAGAAGCATGTGGCAACAGAAAATAGTGATGTAGATAAAAAGGAATCCATCCTTGATGTCTATACATAACAAGATGCTGAGCAAGAGAGAGCACTATAGTTAGGAAAAGCCATGGAAGCCATTCCGGTATGGAAAGTTAAAGAGGTCATTTGAATCAGGAAGGTTATTTGAATCAGTGTCAAGATGAGGCTGACAAGAACAGCCTTGGTACTAAAAAAAATGGATTTCATAGACGTCAATGGAAATATGAGGAAACTCATAAGGGCCAGAAATATCATTTGCCTGTGTAACCTCAGAAAGGAACTGGAGGTGTTTTTGAAATAAAGCAGATTTATGTAGGACAGCTGATACCTACTACTTTTGTCGTTGTTATTTCAGAAGAGCTAAACTATGTGCTCCTGCGCAGCTGTTATGGCCATCCTCTTTCCTGCCACTCAGTGGTAGCATCTGACAGAATAGGCAACTGCACTCAGGGGAGCCACAAGGGCAGGTTTAGGGCTCCATATCTGTATGGCTTTGTGCGTAACAAGATAAAGCTAGAAACATCACGAGAATGACCCATAAATGTCATTCTCATGATGTCAAGCCCTGTGGTGAAAAAAGTTCAATTTTTTCTCATACCCAGTTGGACCAAGTTTTGTTGCTTCAATTTCTGCCTTTTACTTATGCACCACCATGAAAGAGCCTCACTCAACCTTCTCTATAACACTCCAGATTGAACAAGTCCTGTCCCTCAACATCTCCTCACAGAGAATGAGTGCTTCAACCCCTCATCATCTTGGCAGCCTTTTCCAACATTTGCTCCTGTTTGTGTCTTTCTTCGACCAGGGACTCAAAACTGGACCCAGTACACTGGAAGCAGTGTGACTTAGCATTGAGTAGAGGGAGATGATCACTTGCCTAGATCTACTAGCCATAATCCTTCAGGCTGTGGCTTTCTCTGCAGCCAGGGCACTTTGCTGGCTCATGTCATAGAATCACAGGATCACAAGGTTGGAAAGGACCCACAGGATCATCTAGTCCAACTGTTCTCCCATCACCCTTACTACCACAAGCTACTAAATCATATCTTGTAGCTCCTCATCCAGACACCTCCTGAACACTGCCAGGGACGGTGACTCCACCACCTCCCTGGGCAACCCATTCCAGTGCCTGATCCCTCTCACTACCATCCTCTTTCTGCAGAGCTACTCCGGATCCCACTCGCCGAAGACTGAATCACTGCAAAGGGTTCTTTCTTCCCAGGCACAGGACTTTGCATCTGTCCTTGCTGAACTGGTTGAAATTGGTGATCTCAAAGGTCTTTTCCAACCTAGATGATTTTATGATTTTGCTGACATTGTAAGATTCCTGTTGGCCCATTCCTGCTGCTTCTCTAGGTCTCTCTGGATGGTGGCCCTGCCTTCAGGCTTATTGATGGTGTCCTCTATTTGGTGTCTACTTTAAATTTTGCAAGCATGCACTCCGCCACCTCTTCTGCTCATTGATGAAGGTATTAAAAAGGACTGGTGACTTCTGTCTGCATTCCAAGAGCTTAGATCCTTTAGCTGAGATTAAAAAAAAGCATCATTTTTGCTTTTGCACAGCCAGGAACAGTTTTGCAAGAAACATTTGGAACAAGGACAAATGTTTCAAAGGCCCTGTCTCCCACTACTAGTAAATTAAAGCACCCCTCCCTATGCTTCGCAAAGCCCTTTTAAATGCTCTGACCATTACAGACTAAACACATGGGGAAGCATGACCATATATCACCATTTGAGACTAACGTTGGAGGCTATTCAACAGAATATCATAATATTCACCCAGACCCAAAGATAAAAAATCCTACATACATATTTTATAAAAATGCATCTGGAAGTAATTCAGCTTAATGAGTCAAAGGCAAAACCATGTATAAAATAATAAATTGCAGTGGGAACAATTAATTCTCAAGTTTGCCTAAAAAGATGACATTTCTGTTTTTGCCTCTGTCTCCTGAAGCTTGCAAGTTAGCAACACATTAAAAAAGGAAGGACAGGTTGGATATGAAACTTCTTCTACTTTCAAACGTGGTTTTGCCCTGTTTCCTACAAAAATAAGGCTTGTATGACTGCAGGAACTCTATGATGTGCCCATGTGTACATTTGTTTGTTCTCCCCTAACAGCTTCTGAACATATTGTCAGCCTTGGATAACGGATAAATAAGGGCCAAGACTCTTAACTTCCTACCAATTTTATGAAAAAAAGGAGCCCGATAACAACAAGAAACCATTAGCACCCTGACTCAGGGGAAAGCTTGTTGTCTCTCCCTTTTTTAGGTATCAGAGAATCCAGATGAGAGACAGACGTTGGAAACCAGACTTCCACAGACCCCTTCTTATCAGTCACTACATGGCTGCTCTGGTCTGCAGACTATTTGTAACAAGACATATCCACGCCCTCCGTGGGCCTTCAGATTCACATTTGCACTACATATCATTAATGCAGCCTTTAGCACTCTGTATCCACTGTGGTAAGCACCATGGAAACATACAGCAGAGATTACGACCTTTTATCTTTAAAAGATCAGGCTGCCAGGGGGGCATAATATATTTGCAGCGTATCACTTGTACCACTGAAAATGCCCCTCTAATAAAAGATGAAAAGGCCTCTCTACATTACATCCAAAAAGGTTCTTTTTCCATTAGTCACAGGCTAAAAACTGCAGCTTATATTTCCATCCTCAGCTCCGCTGAGCTGTTTCCCAACGTAAAGTTAATATACAGGACCATGAGTTTTTGAGTTAAAAATACAGAAGCCAGCAGAACAGACATTACTGAATCTGTATCTGTGCCAGCTGCCCTTAAAGAGCCTGCTATTCTCCAGAAACCCCTGCCTCTGGGCCTGGCACTCCCTAGCAAGTTCAGTGTCTTCTGAGCATTTCTTAAAAAGATCATAAAGAAACATGAGGATGCTTACCTGCATAGGATGAGACAGGGGAGATCTGTAGGGGGTACAACTGGCTCATGCTGAGAGGCTGTTCATCACTTTCTGTTGTCACCTCTACCACCTGGCAAACATCTGGAGGATTGGCAACTATCACCTGCTCCTCGCTGCTGCCATCAAGGTGCGGCTGTCCTACAACTTGGAGTTAGAACAAAAAAATCCATTACTCATAATATGTCAACTCTGCTGAACCTCTAAGAGCATGCTCCAAGGACAAGCTCGGTATTTGACTGAGCTGGAATCTTTAACACAGTCTCAGCACCTTCTTCCACATCCACCACCTGCTTTCAATGGGACTTCTACAGGAAAACTGTGTGATTTATTCAATTTCCCCCATCTTCAAAGAAATTTCTTTTCCACTTGTGACAACTGAGAATGCCTAACTCTTTCCTGGCTCTCACTCAAAATGCCCATGAGCCCACCCCAAAACACAAGCTAACCTGATGCTTTCCTAGGGAACACCAAAGCCACAATCTTTCCTCACCAGGACATACAGACCATGGCAATCTCTCTTAATCTGGGAAAGCATCCTCACCTAGCAAACTGGCAACATCCCATTGCATCTGGATGCTTTCACATTCATTATGCACCATGAGAGCAAATAAGCCAGAACTAGCACACAAAAAAACTGGCCTCACAGTCATGTAAAATTTGTGAAAAGCCAATTAATAAATGACATGTGCAAAAAAATATTTCTTCAATTAGAGGCTTATTCTCACTGACACTTGCAATGTCAGTGATGGCATGCAGAAAATCATAGCTGAACCTGCACTCTGTAATCCCTGTGGTCCATGACTGACAGCTACTGTCTAGTTAGTTATTGGCATGTTTTTCCTATCCCTCCCCCCCAAGGAAAGTAATATTTAATTCTAAAGTAACATTTTTATTTCTACAAAGTAAAGGTACCATGGATGCTTTGCAAGCACCCCAAAGCACTCTGCAGACACTAGCTGTGCTACAGAACACCCTTCTGAAATGGAGGAATAAACTTAGAAGTCACTCAGCAAAGAAGTACAGAGGTAAAAGCCAAAATCTCAGTTCTCTGGAGCTGCTAGAGACAATTCCCCATCTTGTACAACTCCCCTTTTGGTCCCACCAATAGGAACACATGACAAGTGCATTAATCTGGCACTGAGCAAAAAGCCACTAGGCAGATCAGAACAGCCAGCAGATGAGGAGCCACCTCAGGGAATGGCTAACCTGAATCCACAGCTGTCTGAGAGAAAGGGAAAGACTATCCATACCCTTTCACTGCACCATAACTCATCAAAAAGAACAATTTTTCATGCAGGCAAATTCCTACCAGTTTCAATAATAGTTGGAAGATTTTATGCCAGAGGAACTGGTCCAGATTTATATGCATGCTGTGAACTGCTGTTAGTCTGAAACACACTATCCAGCAATAAACGCCTATTTTGAGTTTTAGGCAGCAAGGTATGACCTTTCAGGCACCAGCACCCCATTCCACTTGGCAACATCATTCCAGAAGTGGCCAAAACTGAACGTTTCAAGGAACAGTCACAGTTAATTCACCAAGCTTATGGTACTGAATTATTAGAAATTCAGACAGCTTTTTTTTTTTCCACTTTTTTTTTTTTTAACCAGAATCCACGATGAAGAAAAATGTAGTAAATGAAGCACAGCACATCTTGAAATTCTTCAGTTAAGTGACCTAAGCACTCTGATTATTAATTTATAAAGGACAGATGTGTCTTTTCTTGGATGAACTCAAATAAATATGCATGAATGCACAATCCACTCCTGTCTTCTATCTTTTGGGCACAACATTTTCAAAAAGAAAAGTGACAGGGTTTTCTCCCAGGGAAAAGCTTAGTGAAGTGCCAGCCAACTACTACAAACTCCCTGAACCTGGCTATGCAGTCTGTGAGACAATTCCAACGTACAAAAGATGATATACATATCAGATAGCCTTTTTTGTTTGGTTTTTTTTTTCAGTTGGATCACTACAATTATTACCATTTGGTTCCTGATATTTTGTTTTGAAAACATCTGCTTTACATTGGGGTGCTGGGGGTCAGGAGCACACACACACACAGAGTTAATTTTTATCCACAAGAAGCCAGTGTTGTGCAACCTTTTCAGGATAAGAGCAGGCCATCTGCAGTGCTTTATCTTTCTCCTCAATACCTGGAGAATTCTTACCCACCCCAAGAGATAAGTTTAGTGCAGCAAAACATACTGCTTATTTGGGCAGTATGCCACCACTCTCCTTTGAGCTGCACGTACATCAGAAACAGTGCAGGTGCTGTTTGTCTTTTCTCCCCTCCAGCTGACTTCTGTCCTTTCTGCAGAATATATCTATTTTACCCTTTCTCCCCTGTTTATATTAAATACTGGCTTGGAGTACTAAATAAGGACTTCTCTCTTCAGTTTGGATAAGCAGCACACTTGCCTAGCCTTTAATTAAACAATGTTGGATCACAGTTATCCACCCAAACCTTGCTGTCATACCCCTGGAAATGGACACAGGGCATATCCATAAGAGCAAAGGGAAAAAACAAAAGGCTAATTGGAGACCTCCCTTGTGAGCTCAAATTAAAACGAAAGCCCTTCAGGGGCCATTCAGTTCTGCTTCTCTCTTGGTTTCTATGTTAGACCTTTCAGAAATTCTTATATCCCCCTATGGGTCCTGTTCTGTGTCCTGTTCTGTAAATCACTGAGATCTTCCAAGATGCAACATGGATTCATCTCCTAGTAAAATCGAACAGGAGTTCAGGATACACTGCACTATAGGAAAATGAGCTGTTCCAGTAAAATGACTCTCTTGTATGTTTGTGGATTTGGGGAACACCAGGTACATTGGAAAGGCTGCTGTTAATTGATCTCTGTTTAACTTGAAGGTTTTACAACAAAAAACTGAAGTGTAGGAAGCTTCCTCCTTGGGGCTGCATATCAGCCTTGCTGTATTTCAGATCTGGATTTGAGTCAGTCAGTATATATAATTCGTTTTAGCGTAAGGCCTTCAAGTTATAAAGCTCTCTGTAACAGTATGAACAAATTCATGTCCTAAAACTCTTACAAAGAAAGAACTGATTAAATATCCTGTCATCCAGAACAAAAAAACAAACTCATGAACTGCTCAACCATGGAAGTGTTTGTGGGAATGACTTAACACAGAGCCCTGTGATGTAAAAAAATGGCAGAAAAGAATAGTCAGTGCGTGCAATTACTGCCATCTTCACAAAAAGAAGATCAACATATTTTTCAAGCACTTTTTTCTTGTATGTAGAAGTAGAACTCTACAGAAAATAGTATATGCGTCACATTTCTAGGAGCCCTCACTGCAGTGACAACCTCAGCCCCAAAAGAGCTGTCAAAACCAGCCCAGTTATTCTACCAAGGGCCAATCATACACATTCTGAGATGACATCTAATTCCTAAGTACCTGTTTCTAAACACAGACTTCACTGATCTTTTTCTTAGCTCTCTAACGTTAAGAATTAACCCAATGTTAAAAACAAACAAACAAGTTCTTCTATTTCATCTTTTTGTTTAAACTCACAAACAAAATGCAATCCTGTATAAAACTGTTTTTTTAAGGAAAGGGAAATCATCTCCCAGCTTCAGTATAACCTGCCATGGACACTGAGTAGCATCTCCTTACAGCAGAGAGCTACACTGTGCAGAAAGCTGATGTCAGGGAAAGCCACCTGAAAAAGTTCCTCTGTGCTTTGCTCTCAGAGAAACAGGCATGCTGCAGTAGCACTGCTCAGCATCACTGCAGAGTGATGGGGCAGACCTGCAGGCAGGACCTTGTGCAGCTTAGGTTAACAAAAAATACATAGACACAATTATACCTGGGTTCTTCTCTGACGTGCACAGTGCTGCGGAAAGGTGAGTTTGAAGCAGTCAAGAGTTTTCTTTTTTTTTTTTCTTTTTCTGGCATTACCTATTTCATGTATTTGTCTTTTAATTCACCTGTACGCTTAGCATATATGAAAAGCACAGGAGTACTTACCTACAATGTTCACTGTACTGTCAACTTCATTTTTTATACTGGAGGACAGGAAATAGTCAGAAGTAACATCATTTAGCCCATTAATCCCAAAAGATGATTCAACTGGCTCTTGCTAGAATGAAAACAGTACAGTTGGGTCAGGTTTGATTTATTTTAGGAGCCTGGACTAAGTTCATCTCATTGTTCAGAGATGGTAATGAATTAGATTGCTTCTGCCTGCCCCATTCCCACTGTTCTCTGTTAGACAAAGTATCGGAACAAATAATTTGGTTCTGTGAGAAGCAGCCAGAGTTTACTTCCAAATTGTCAGCTTGGAAACTCCAGCTATTTTTCAATTTCAGATTTAGAGTGAGTCTTCTGGGAGCAAGAAATTAGCGTGCTATTTATTACAGGAGATCGACACTTAGAACAAACAAGGAAGAAACATTGCTTTCAAATGTATTCTATTTCATTTTCATCTTCATTCTCTTCCAAACATGCTCTATCTCTCAGCACTCTCTGAAAGGAAGCTCTAGCTTCAGTTTAACAATTACTAAATTCTAGCCTTAATTTTTCTCTGCAGCAAATCAAAGTGTGTACATCAAAAAGTGTTTACAGCCATTTAGATCACATCATAAACATTACCATAGGGCAACAGCACTGGGAAAACACCACCTGCTCTATATATACTGAGCTGCCCACAAGATGCATACTCTGTAGGTCTGGTACATTCAAAAGGGAATCGAAAAATCTCCCTTCAGACTAGACACCAAGAAAATGTTAATTCCACAAACTCAGGATTTCTTACAAAAGCTATCAACACTTTTAAAGAACTAACTACATGCCCAGCCTCCTCCCTGGTATTGGCACCCATACAAGGTTATCAGATAGAAAGTCTAAAGCCTCCAGTTCTCATTCTGGGTGGGCAGTGCTGCCACTGAAACCTAAGTTCTGCATCAATGCTGCACTGATGGCACCTGCAGAGAGGTGCTGGTTTGATCTGTTGCTATGGAATGCTCATATTCACTGCTCCAAAACAGTAAGTGCAGGGCAAAGGCGAACCTCAGGACTCCTGGTGCTAGCCCTCCACAGCACTAACTTTATGAAAGTTTATTGTGGGGACTGGGCACAGGCTGACATGCAGTTTTTAGATGCCACATGCAGTGACTGGGACCCACTCGTTAAGAGACGTTCTTTGGACACATATCTGTGCTTTCCCAGCCCTCCAGCAAGGCCAGAGTGCAGTCACACAGCCTGTTCCCAGGCCCGTTTTTGCACATCAGAGGAGCGTAAGACAGCTACAGTGCTAATGGCACAAGGTCTTTGATGAATCCCACTGGTGGTGTCAAAGACCCAGTAAGCAGGAAAAGATAAAATTAGCTGCTATTGATCCATCCAGGCTCACTGACTGCAGACAGATGAGGACTCTGCACTGCAGCCACAGTGCTGTGCAATGCCCCAGCAAACACAACAGCCCCCATGGGAATGATGCTTGCACCATAACTTGCTCAGCTTTGCTGAGGCTTCATTACAGCAGAGTTTATTTAGCTGCCCTTTTCAGTAGCAGAAACAAATGCATATCCTAAAACCTAGGTGATGGGGCAAGGTCCACAAAGGGACGAGAATATCAGCACAGTTGGTGTTACACCATTTTCAGTGTGTGAATGTGTGGAGGAAGCTGAGCTGAAAGGATGGCAAAAGTGTCACTTAGACTTAAAAATGATCAAAAAAAAAAAAAAAAATCAGTGGACAGCTGCATACATAGTCAAAATTATGCATCTACCATAAGGTAGAGATTACGTCACATAGGCAGTTCAACCTTTACCTCTGTTTCAAAGGAAAGAGCCTATTCATGTCTCCTTGGACTACTCAGCTATTTCTGGCCTCTTTTCCATTTGCTCAAGAGCCCAGTGACCAGGTGATGCATCTGCAAGGTAGGAGATGTGCCCCCCTAACTAGGTGCAGGCTCTCAACATCCCCAGGAGGGTCAAGGAAGGGAAGAGTCCTGGCTGAGCATCCTGCTCAAGCTCAACCTCACCAGTCAGGCACGGGCAGGAATCAAGGCTTCACCAGTGGTATCTGGCAGTGCTCTTCACTCACATCAGCAGTCACCTTAGGAACTTGGGCACCCCCAGAATCTGGCAGAAGTGACATGGAGGAGCTCCATGTGAAGCTCTCTTACACTGAAGTCCCTTTTCTCGGACCCTTAGCTTCTCCCTCTCTCGGTGTTATCCCACAGAGGTCAACAGGCAGGTCATGGAGCAGCTACCCACCCATTTTCACTAAGCAGAGGTTTTCAAGGTAAGTGCAAGGCTTTTAACAAAAATCATGCAGCTCAGAATTCACATCACCTAGCGAAGAAATGTAAGCAGTTTTTTGTGTTAAAAAATGTGCATTTGCATTAACTCACCTGCTGTACATAATAATATCTCAGACATCACTGTGATACCCTCAGCAACTAGTATTTGTGAGATTCATTTGAATGAAAAGGGAAAGATTGTGCAGGTAACTCTGCAGTTTTTCAGGTATTTAATATTTGGACTAAAATAAAAGTAATGAACAAAGGGCACAGCAAAGTGCTGCAGCCAGCTTTGGAAGGCATCACGTGCTGCCCAGCTCTGACCAAAGGAGTTTACTGGATCCCTGGGAATCAGTCACATGATAACAATCTCACATGGCTACACAGTCCATATATAATGGCTAAAAATTGGTAGTTCATAGACAATTTGAAATCACAGACAATTTATAAAGCAGTATCCTGTCATGCAATTATACAAGTCACCATCACCAGAAGAAATTTTTGCCTTTCAAATCCAATTTTAATAAAGAAATTTTCCCAGCCCTCAGTATCCATCTCTCTGCTTCATCGAGACATGAAAGCCATAGTCCTTAACAAGCAAGTAGCAGAGCACTGAGCTGTTGTCCTGTTACAAACATTGCTGTATGCTACCATGGGCTATGCTTTCAACGCTCAAATCCCCAGTTTCAGTGAAAGAACAAAGACTTCTGTGAAGCCAGAAAGCCTGGAAACTTTGCAATTTGCTTTATGAAAGCACTGATGTTGGACCAAATCCTGCTACTATATTACACTGACCACCTCAGAGGGGCATCAGTGTAACTGCAGATGATAGGAAATACCATGTTTTGCAGGGAAAGTAAATGTGAGTTTGCGTCCATGTTCTCAACAAGAAAAAGTCCCATGCTGGCTGATGAGCTTTACAACTTTCTTCTGTCTTACAAAGCACAAGCAGAACACAAGGCTCTGACAGACTTCTCCCCCTTTCCTGAACAAAAATGAATTTCCAATGCCTTCTGCACAAAAAAAACCTAATTGCTTCAAAAGGTACTTCTATTGTTCTCAAGCACTGCTTCCATAATTACTGTATTTCTACTTACACAGACAAATGGCAAACATATTGCCAAAGCTGCCAGTTTTCCATCCTCCAGGCATTGCAACACACAAGGGCTGTGTCAACTGATGACGTCAGCCGCGGCTCTTCACATTTTAAAAGAAAACAAAGCTACACCAAAGTAACTGCAGCTACTTAACCAAACCAAAACCATGGGAGATTTGCAAATATCCACCATAAGATGCTACTGGGACTACTTAAAAAAAACAATGGCAATAGACTATTTTCACAGGCTTTCAAACTACCAAACAGCTACTTCTTACCTTAATTTGTTTGAACTTGTCATCCTTCTCAGACTTCGTTTTTTTTCCTGCAAGAACAAAAGGAAGATTTCTTAAAGCCCTCCATAACATCAATCGTCCTCCACAGCTTCTACATTCACTAAGAAAATGAAGGCAAATGTGATCAAAATAGCAGCACCTCCTAGCAAAAGGAGAACTCCTTTTGCTTAGTTTCAAACCCATTTTAAATATTGGGCAGTCAAAATTCACCTTGAGCACAGGGTTTCGAGTTTCATTTTTGAAGGACCACAAAAAGCAATCTCAGTCAAAAAAAGCAAGGTGAAAAATATGAAAGAGTGACAAAGAACCAGGGACTGTTAGATGAGGAGGAAAATTCTCAAAGAAAAAGAATCCAAATACATATCTTGTCACACGCGAGACATCCTCACTGTACACAGTAACAAGAAAAGGGAGATTGTTCTTTTATTTAACGTGTGAAAAGAGATCACAGGAAATTTCAACACACATTTTTGTAAATAGTTGCAACATAGGGAGGGGAATATAGATTATAATTTATGTCAAAGTGATTTATGCACTCATGTTGGATTGGAGAATTCAGAAGAAAACCTAGAGTATACGGCCCTCACCAAATCTCCTGTGCCTTGTAAGACCTCAGCATTGCTGCCCCTGCTCCGTCTTGAGGAGACCCTAACGTGGAAGCTCAGAGTTGCTGATGAAAGCTCTGCTCTACCCACTCTTTGCACAGACGTGTCCCAGGAATTCCTCCCATCTCTACTACAAGATAGGGCTTAGAATTAAAAATGTTTGCAGACAAATTCTTTTGCCCTCACTCATACATAAATTTAGCTGCACGTCATGTAGAAAGGACAAATGAGAAGATATACAGGGGCCAAAAGATGTCAGTTATATAGTAGCTGGATTTGCTGTGGAATCTTCTTCTGCTATGACACAGATCTCCAGAATCTCTGTTTTCGTTCTGAACTGTTCTGGTTCTTAAAGCTGTGAGAGGAATCTGCCACAATGGGTCAGATTATGGTTTATGAATATATGCCTGCATGTACAAAACACAGCACAGATGAGAGATAGGAAACAGTTTCAAAGCAAATATTCTACTTTTTCCAGATTGATCTTCTTTTCATACTATGATTCTGCCCCCAAAATGCCCAAGTTATTCATTTCCATTCACATCTTAAAATTAAGATGAGCTTTATACACCACAATTTTAAAAAACAGCAAATTGAGCTATACCAAATTTGATTTTAGAGGAACATCATGCAGAGGTACAACATTTGGATGCTAGGTTATCTTTTCAACTAATACATCTAGGCACTAGAAGATATCAGAGGAATGAGGAAGCCCATTTTCTACTCCATAAGCGCACAACAAAGCTAAAAAAATGCTTGCATTTCTGTTCAACAAGAAACCAAATATTCCTTAGACTGACCTGGAGTTTAGGTCTTCTCCTGGCATGTAGGAGACCCACCACCTAAACTAAATCCAGGGAATTTAAACAGTTTCCCACTTCACCACTACCATGCTGTGCAGGAAAAGAGCACAGCCTTCTTCCTGCTTTTTTCATTGCCTAGGTTACCTACCGAAAAAAGTGCCTCTATGGCTTAATAAAGTGTTTCCCCAGGATGCCAAACTTGTGAGTTTGCTCCTTGTATAGAAAACCCAGGTGCTGAATTTATACTCCCAGTTCCAAGTGGCAGCTGAGTTTAGTTCCTATGTCCCACAAAAACAGATTTTTAGTGCAGGCCACAGCTACACTTAAGAACATACTCTCCCTACTCAGATGAAAAGAGTGCGAGTTTATTTCTATCCTTGCTTGCAAAAAGATGGCAAAATGTCTGCTACCATATTCTGAATGAGCTTTACTGTATGAAATGTATCAATCTCTAATATGTCCCAGTCACTCTCCTGGACTGAAGCAGGCCCATTTATCTCATGAGAGATAGGAAACAAGCAGATATGGCTTTGTGCTGCTTTCATTCAGTAGGACACCTCACACAGACTGATTTTGAAACCAGTGCCACAGATATTAAATACATAGGGGTGCTCCTCTGTGGTATTCTCAGCTTCCTCAACCCATATTTTAGTTCAGCACTGATATTGACACCTCCTGCAGGAAAGATTATTCCCGATTCAAGCTAAGGGCATTCATAACTCTGCAAATCTTCAGCTGTTTATGCTGTATCACTGCCTCAAATGAAACTTCAGCCATTTGGCAGCAGTTACTTGGCAGCCCCAAAATTCAAACAAGCATGGTACCTGCAATCAGCATCTGAATACAGCTCTGTTGGCTTTAACAGAACTATCACCATTCTAGCAGCCCAGTACCCTATCTCGTTGATCTAGCAGCTGGTTCCCTTAATTGAATACAGCCCATTTTTCACAGAGACGTTCCTAAATTCCAGGGAACAGCTGGATGAAAAAGTCTGACTTTACAGCAGGAGAAGTAAAACTGGCACACTATGCAGGCCCCGTGGTAACAATGCAGCCAACACCACCAACTTCACACTCACAAGCTCTCTCCTCTACCTTTTTTGGAAGGTCTTTCAGATAATGGCAGCATCCGGTACACCCTGAAGGCATTGTTTCCTTTCTTTATACTTTTGTCCTTCACTTCTTCTATATCAGGCAGAGAGTTCATAGCACACCGGAAGTTTGCCTTCCATGTCTTTGGGTCGGGTTTATCTACTCCTGACTGGTATTTTCCTAAGCAAGAGAAGAGGGTTAAGCATACATGATGCGTAACTGAAAACCTAAGATAAACTAGTAACAGCATAGGTGAACTTCAAGGTATTGGCCTTTGGTTGTCAAGACAAGCATTTGAACAACAGGTGAGGTTGCAAGAGAAAGTGAATGTTGTGATCTGATTTTCATGCATGTTTCCAGAACACGATTAACAGCTTCTGCCCAAGAAAGACCTAGAGCACTGCAGATCAGATGTAACTTTACAACAACATGGAAAAGCCTGCGCAGCATTTACCTTTATTAAGTCTGGCTCAAATCCATAGAAGCATATAAAAAGCACAAGAGACCAAGTCTACAAAGTGCTGAGCATGCTCTACTCCAAATGATTTTGAACCCTATCTTGTTAACATTTAAATCAATTAAGTTTTACTGTGCTTCTCAATGCAAATGAGTTACAGCCATTCAATAAAGCTGGAGATTACTGCAGACCTTGAAAAAAGCATTTAACCTCCCACATATCTGGAAACTTCAATTCACTCTCTGTGTTAGTAAAAACAAAGACATGAAAGAAGGAAAATATAGATTTAAAAGGAAAACCAAGTGAAAAATCTGTCCTGCAAAAAGAGAGTTCCAATACCTGTGTGAATTGCCCAGTTTCTAAATAAGGGAGCATCTTTTTCAACATCCCACCCATGTCTTGCAGCATGCATCCAGGGAATTTGAAAAATCTTCTTCTCCTGGAAGGGAAAACAAACAGGAAATGCCAATGTTGATCGACTTGATGGATTTTCTGATGATTTTAAGTCACTTATTTAAAAATGCAGTTCCAGCATCTGCGAGTGTTTTGCTTTCTTCTAACACAGTGCTGCTGTCACTGGGCTCAATAGGAAAACATCCTCTGGCGTCAGTGAAAGCAGAATACAGTCCATACAGTCCCAAGTACACAAGATACTCAGATGCCCCTTCACAGACTCTGAGGCTGGCAGCTTTCCAAGCTGACACATGGATAAAACATGCAATGCTAAACATTTCTAAACATTCAAACGAAGGCTAGTTTTGGCAGCACTGACACTCTCATGATTAGAAAAATCAGATATAAAAATAAACAACCATAAGAACCATAAGAGATAATTCAAGGGATTTAGAATTCAGTGAGAAAAACACTAACACGATGAAAGAAAAGGACATTTAAAATGTACCGGCCAGGCAAACAGGGCATATATCAAAACAAGACATCTCTGCAGTGGGGACAGAAAAAAAAGAAAATTGGAACACCCATGTGCAGGGATGGGTTTAAAGGCAGTTCAACTTTTTAGTTTAGAAAATTTGATCAAAGAGAAGCAGATTTAAAGCAATCAAAAGAAGGCTTGTTTGTCCTTTGTTTACAAAGCACAGAGTTAAACCAGGGCATGTCTTATATAGTGGAAGTTTATACTGACTCACAAAGAGAACAGAAAAAACTCATGGAAGACAGTACTAAGTCCCTACTAAGGATGACAGATCTGAAGAAAAACCTGTGGGAGAATGTACTGTGGTGGCTGTTAAGGATAGTGAATTTGGATGCAGCTCCAACTCTGGAAGCTCAACAGCTTTCAGCACTTGAACAGCACAGGAACAGAAACAATTAAATCCCTCCTGACATGTTTCAAATACTCTTTCCATTAGCATTTAGGCCCATGCCATCATCACAGATAGGACACTGGGCCAGATGGATGATTTCATGGGCCAGATGTGCTTTTGTGTCATATAACACAGCATAAGAACACTTCATGCTCATTTCTGCAAAGCCATGCAAAAAGTTTATGTTCCACAAACAAAATCCTCCTCTTGCAGAAGAGGCACCTTAACCTGGCTTCAAACACCGACATATTGCACTTAAGTGCAACCTCTGCAGGTTTAAATTCCCTTCACAACCAGTGAAGAGAAAGGCATTTTCAGGGGACAATTTACCTCAACTCACCAACTCAATTACACCCCAAAAATGCCTATTTCCCTTCATTAACTGCAAACAACTGTAGACAGGCAGCCCTCGTTTAAGCAACTGCACTGTGTAAGGTCAGGGAGAAGAATCCTTTGCCCTTCCCCTAGCAATAGCACTTCCTCCTTGTCTGTCTAGTTAATATTTAACTGATGTCAAAGTTAGGTTTACTTGTCTTCCTTTTTCTATGATCTTTGCTTTCTTGAGCATGTATTTTTTGACAACTTTCACCTCTTTTTTTTTTTTAATCCTTTCATTTATATTCACTTGTTCAGAATTGCATTTTTCTCTCTTGCTTCTCTTAATCTTTTCCTTAATTTAGTAAATGCAGATTTAACATGATCTCTGTTCTCCTTCAAATTCTCATAAACCCACTCACTGTTAGGAAATACTCCTTCTCTGAAAGAGTGGTCAGGCACTGGAATGGGCTGCCCAGGGGGGTGGTGGATTCACCAATCCTGAAGGTCTTCAAGGGACTTTTAGATATCATGTTGAGAGATATGGTGTAGTGAGAACTATTGGTGACAGGTGGATGGTTGGACTGGATGATCTTGTAGGTCTTTTCCAACCTTGGTGATTCTATAATCCTTTTCATGCATTCTTGTTATTCATCTCATATGCCCTTTGCCATCTTACTCTTTCCCTTGTATATAGTTAAATCACCCTACAGAGGTGCTCCCCTCTCTCCCAAGTAGAAGAGGTATAATGGAAGCTTCGATCCCATTGCCCTGCAGTCCACACCACTACTGTATTCACTGGAGGTAGAATAAGCTCTATTGTCTTATCTGTCCTAAAGATGACAATCAGTATGGGGAAGGAAAAAAAAAAAAAAAAAAAGAAGTCCATTAACAACAAAAAGAAAAATTACCAACAAGAATTGTAAGAAATGACCAGTCTAAAAAGTCATCTCACATTTGGTGATGGGAAGAAGTTTGAATGATGCTACACAGTGCTACAGAGGTTATACCACTGACTTCATATGCTGCCTGAAAGTTCCAAAACTTATTTAGGAACTTGCATACTGAACAAGACTATAGATGTAGCACCATGTCACTGCCAACAGTACTCGCTGCTTCAAAGGAAGGTGCAAAGACTTTCCCAATAGCAGTCTAAGTGCTCATTACAGAAAATCCTTCCTAATACCATGTCCTGAAGCACAAGGACTTACAAGAAGTTGTAGTATCAATAAAAAATATATATGTAATCTACCTGTATCATCACTTCAAAATATACTTAATTTTATGTCCAGAAACATTTTCTCATCAACTATGTAAATATCTAACCTTCTCTGAAATCCCTCAATACTGCTGATTGTAACAATCTCAAGTGGCTAAAAGTTCCACAGAATAAATGGTTGTTCTGCTCTAGTTTACCTAGATTCTCCCTATTTAAATACTATTTTTTCATTTCACTCATTATCAAACATTTTCTCATATCCTTCTTCATTCCTTCTTCGTTAATAATATGAATTCATTCTAATATGAAAGGGTCATCACTGCTTTTTCTTAGACTTGGAAAATAAAGTACTATTTTGCACAGCACTTCATCACCAGGCATTTCTGTAGGAGGCCTGTGTTTGTGCATAAAATTAGGCTCATCAGAGTCAAAAGCACAACCCACAAAACTGCTGCTGCATAACTGCTACCACTATCCAATGGGGATATCAAAAGGGAAAGAGGTATCACATTCTTAGAAATAAGCACGAAGAGGAAAATAGTATTGAAAACTTGAAACTCTAACTGCAGAATGCTCCAAGCAGGTGAATGAGCATGAGATCAGACAGTTAGGAAGCCATAAGGCAAATTTTAAATAGTGACCTCTGTTTGGATGGTAATACTCCAAGCAACCATCAAAGCAACGGGTTGCTTTTCAGCTCCTGTTACAGCTACTTTGCATGTTTCCACTCCAATTTCCTTTTCCAGACCCATGAGGGATGCTGACCTCACATTATCCTCCTCCTCACATCACCTCTGCCCTCTGCTGAACTATGCAACTTCTCTCATGCCTTCCAGTTTTGTCTCCCTGGGATGGTAAAGAAATTCCCTTCCTCCCTTCTGCTGTTCAGCAGGAAAATGTTTTCACTGAGGAGGAAGATAAGTATTTATTATTCAAGCCCTTTAGAGGAGGGAGTGTAATCTGGAGGAAAAAAAAAAACATCAACAATGCAGTGCAGAGCAAAGCAGGAGGTGTAGTGTGACTGACTGAGAGTAGGGAAAGGAAAGTCGTACATCGGCTGTTACCTGACTTATCACTGTTAACTGAAAGGCTTAATTGCTCTCAATTCCCCAAGAAAAGACAGCCAATGACAAACTTAGATTGATATTCACTTCTTCAATATTTAAATCTTACTTCCTTAAAACTTGTGCACACATACACGTCATTCTCTTGCTAATCTGCCCCATCTTCTTTTCTTTAATGAGAACCATATTTTCCTAACCTTTAATTAAAATACACAAATTCTGAAGTCCTACAATTTCCAAAGTCAATTCTGTGCATACATAACATGCTTCAACAGATACGACATTTTATCAAAGATTCCATGAATAGCTTTGTTTATGGTCAGGATTTACAGTAAAAATATAAGTATTTTTGGATTAATGATTCATCGCTGGAATTAATTTCTAAGCATTTTTAAACAGAAACACTCAGAAGTGCTATTAGCTTGTTGATCTGGGTAAAGAACTGGCTGTGTGGCTGTGCCCAGAGAGTAGTGCTGAATGGAGATCAATCCAGCTGGCAACTAGCCAGGAGCAGTGTTCCCCAGGAGTCGCTATTGGGACCTGTCTTGTTCAGTATCTTCAGAAATGCTTCTCCAAAAGAGTGGTCAGGTGCTGGAGCGGGCTGCCCAGGGAGGTGGTGGAATCACCATCCCCGGAGGTGTTCAAGAAATGGTTACATGTTGTACTATGGGACGCAGTTTGGAGGAGAAATATTGGTGGTAGGCGGACAGTTGGACTGGATCATCTTGGAGGTCTTTTCCAACCTCAGTGATTTCATGATTCAATGAAAAGCAGCTCAAGATGATGCCGGATGTGAATGTAGAAGTGGAGAATCGCAATCTAATAAAGGTCAGTGCAGGCCATTTAGCCACTAATCCCTTAGTACAGGAGCAGTGTTTTCATACTGCAGAGCAAGTGCATGTTGGAGGCAATGCAACAAGTACATTCCCAGAGTACAGAGAAAGGTTACATGAACATAACCTACAGACAACAGCAGTAAGACGCTAAACACTTAAGATGCTAAAATCTGAAATACTTTTCCTGCAGCTAAGCACAGATAAATGATTATAAATGATAAATGACAGAAACATTCAAGAAAGGACAGCAGAGATGGACTATCAGTAGGAAAGACCTGACAGAAGTAGGGACAGAAAAGAAGAATTCTGAATGTGGTATTTAAATTATGAAGACAACAGTAAAATCTGTTCTCTTCCTCCTCTTCAACTATGACCCCATAATGCAAGAATAAGGACCTACTCAAATGCACAGGGCAGCTAACTTGGGAATGGATAAATAAATATTTATTTACCCAGCCACAGCATATGACAGTAACTAATGCAGGTGTTCCTGAGAAACAAACTTTGCAAACTGAAGTTGACAGGACTGTTGTTAATTGTGTAGTTACAAGTATTTTTAACTTAGTAAACTGAAATAAAAAAATATCAGTCTTAGCTGTCATTCTCCAGTCTTAAAACTGAACATTTGAGTGCCACAACAACTACCATGGAGAGAATACTAGACTAACTGGACTAGAGCCTTAAACAGGATGGCAGCTCCCATACTTCTGCACCTACTTTATAGCATTTCCACTGTATTCATTTTGATAATAAAGTGGTTTTTGTTGCTAAAACTGCGCAATTCCTTTCAGCATGGTGAATAACTCTTCTGCATTGCATAATTCCGGGTTTATTACAGCTCAAAGTCTCAAATACACTGTTATACTGAATCAATTAAAAAAATGCAACTGGATTCTGATGTGCTTACAAAATTTCTAGCACTCTCACTATGAATTCTGGATAAGGAATAGTAAGTTGGGTCTGGTATAGGAAAAATTACCTGATTTTTTTCTCAGATTCACTGCTTTAAGAAGTATCAGAGATTTCATACAAGTCTGAAAGAGATCATCACTTCAACTCAGAGGTTAATGCAGAACATAACATTACATCTCAGATGAGCATTTTGTTCAAAATCCCTCTGACACTATTTGGTAAGCAATTTGTTCCAGCTAAAAAACTTAACAGAGTCTACATTTTTTTTCCACCAACAAAGGGTCAGAGGAGGAAAATGCTTATAAACAAGTCACAAATCTAACAGGCAAATGCAAAGAGCTTCAGATCTGGAACGTAAGGCCAGAAGAACAGGTTCAGCAGGAAGCATTCAGCGTGGCCCCTTTCAAGACTAAGAACACGAATTTACACTGCTATGAAGGACCTCATTCACACACACGTGCAGGCGTGCTTGCACAAACACACCCCTTACCTTATTTAGCCATTTCAGCCCTGGTATTGTGTTAGAATTTATTTGTTCTTCCAGCCACGGGCGCATCCGCATTCTTTCGACAGGCATTGTTACCTGCGCTGGAAGGAGCTGAAGGGAACAAGGGACAATGTTACTTGTTTTCCTGGCAGCACTCAGCACAAAATACACACAGACCTACTTATTAGCAATTTGCAGGCACTTAACAATCATAATACTGGCTTGGGATCTGCGTAGGAGACTCCCATAAGAGCAACTGAGATGATAAGACTTTCTCCACAGCAGAAAGTGATACATCTATGTTAGTAAACCCGTCACCTAAAGACACATGCCAATGGCAACAGCTCTTCAAATGACACAGGCAGGATACCACAAAGAAAATCAGTTGTCCTCCTGCAGAGATCTCTTCCATTGGCCTATGCTGCATTTGCTGAATACACTTTTTGCCAGCAAGAGAAAACAACAAAACCAGCAAACAAAGCCACACAGGAAACATCTCTGCACTAGCCATAATTATATATCTACTAACTAGAGTGTTTTCAAATGGCTGCTTCTGTTGCACAGACTTGATTAAGATAGCAAAAGCTGTATTTTTCATCACAGTACTTCATTAGACGGCTTGGCTCTGGTTGTGCACTACGATCCCTTCCCTCCAGATTTATCTGATTGACTCAGCCACTGATTTTTTCTTAAACTACGTTTCAATAGTGCTTAGCTAGGAAGGGAACACTCTGCAGCCCCCTCCAGGGGGGGACATACCAGGACATGTTATGTTACTCAGCTAAGGCTCCAACCGTCTTCTTTGTCTCTCTCTCTCACACAAACACATACAAGCACACGTGACCCTGATGCACTTCCCCATTTAGAATGGTGAATTATTGACAGAAGAGTCCAAAGTCTTGAAGCTAGGACAAATAATTTTAAAAACATTAACCTATCGCAAAGTGCCAAGCAGCACTAGATGCAGATTAAAGCGCTGCATAAAACTCCTTCTAACCAGCCTGCAATCAATCATTTCCACATTCAAGTACTTGCATTTGGGCTGCTTCTTCTCTCCCCCACTACACCAGGCTCAGCTCCTTCCTCTCTCCTTTGTTCTTCACAACTGCATTCTCTGCATCATTCTTAACTTCTCTGCTCTGCTATTCTTGTCACCTTTGATCTTTTTTAAAAAAAAAAAAAGAGAAAAACAAAAGGACTAGGCAACACATCTGAAAGCACACAGCAATGACACAAATGTAAATGTGTTTGTTCTTTTTTCCTATGGGATTACGGGCAACAGACAGACTAACAATCAGGCAGCACCAAGCCCACACCCAGCACAAGAGGAAGAAAAATGTTCAAAGTTTCCTCTCATTGCTCTGAGGACATGTATTTCCTGAAACTAACAAGGAATTAAAACCTGAGCGCAACAATAAGGCGCTGATATGTTTCCAGGGACCAAAAAGGTCTAAAATAGCTTAGAAAATGCTTGCCATTGCTCAGCTCACTTTCAAGTTCACTTTACTTATAAGAAAGCAGACAATCCTGGAGCCCCAGTCTGTGCAGGAGCAAAGTTCTTTTCTGAGTGACAGTGACACAGAAACACAGAATCATTAAGGTTGCAAAATACCACTAAGATCATCTAGCCCAACTGTCAATGTAGCTAAAATGCACTATTCCCTCTTCAAATATGCAAGAAGTGCAAGCACTTTTTTACAAAGCAGATGCAACCAGGCCCCAGAAACCCTTCTAGTACCAACTATCCTGTGTGGAACACTCAGTGCCACTTCTCCCCTATCAGGCTAGGGTCAGAGTTGAAAAATGCAAATGACCGCGCTAAAGTGCGAGTGCATTTCTATTTAGCTGTCAAGGAAGAAGCATGCAGATGTGACTAGCATCTTATAAGCTTTTCTTCTTAGGACTTTTCCAATATATATACACTCCGAGACAAGTCAAGGAAACACTACATATCACTTCAGATTTCAATTTGTAAATGTGTGCACAGGATACATCCTGTGTTGCGGCTAACAAGCCTCTAAGACAAATGTCAAGCCTATCTGAATGAAGTAGTTACACAAAAAGCAAGGAAGTAACCTCTAAGGTAGCAGCAGCAAATTCCATTTCGGGGTGAAAAAAATAAAAGCTGCCTTTGTGAAAAAGTGATGCTTTTCAGGAGGGAAGAAACTGCTGACACCACTGCTACAAGGAAGGAGGCCTTGCTCAGAGACAAGGTAGAGACATTTATCTCATCCCTCTCACGTCCCCAGGGGCCCTACCAGCTGTTCCCTGCAGATGCTCATCTCCTTCCCAGTGCCTGGAGCCCTCTGGAACCGGCACATAATCCACAGCCAGTAGCACACACCTTCACATCCATCACCTGCACCTTTTCAAATTCCTCAGCGCTAAGCAGAAGAGCAGTTTGGCTTGTGAGAAGGGAGGAGTGGCTTCCAAGATCTGTTTATCTGAAAGTAAAACGAAAGCCAGCTAAAAATAACCAGTGGTGATGTCCAGCTGGAGGGAGTTGTAGGCATCTTCTGGGGAGCTGTATTTCACAGAAGGGCAAACGCAGCATGTGTGCATTCATCAAAACATACCCTGTGCTCTTCAATGACCACGAGCTGAAGAAAATAAAGCCTGACGTTTTCAGAACGCACTCCCAGACCCTTCTGCCTTGGGACAGCACAGACCATAATGATGCTAAAATGCAGTGGTTTTTTGGCAGCCGTACGTCAACAACATCTCTGCAATGAAAATAACCAGTCAGCTCTATCTAGCAATTGCCTGTGTGAAATGAAGGTGCCTCATCTTCCCTCCAGGGCTGTCATACATGTGCTTTGCTTGTATAGTAAGACTACAATTCTGCAATGCCTCAAAAAGCAACCTCTGTATTTCACCACTGCCTTCCAGGATGTGTGACACAGTTTAGAGGCAGGGTTAGCTGGTGCACCTGGGAGTCTCATGATGATGGCTCCTTTCTGCACTATTTTTGTTGTTGCATTCACTGTCAGCTTGAAATCCAACCCTCCACGAGTGGTGGCACAATCACCTTCTGCCGTCAATTGTTGCTCGAGTTTTTAAAGATCTCTACAATTCCCTTTAACAGACAGCAAAAGCATGCTGAGTTTCACTAGCCATCACTAAACATTGTCATCTTCGCTCTACATTAGAGTATGTTAATTATGAAGCAAATACAAAGCCAGAAATGAGGGTGAGCCATACAAAACACAGGGCGCATCAAGGCCTCTCACTCCCACTTCTCTCTGGTGTTTACCCATAAGAAAGGAAAAAGTGAAACAATGAATCCTTTTAAGGAGAATGAAACATTAACATTTAGAGTGTGAAGCAGGCCTGCAACACCAGGAGTGCCTCTGCACCTACGGCCCACTGCCCATCAACCTTCACAGTGCACTTCCCCTTCAGACTTACACTCCTGAAGTCACAGCTACATGTAGGTGCACGTATTTTGTGCTCTGAGACTGCCTTCAGCTCCATCTCAATCTCATCATGAGCCAAGCTTTTTCTCACCCAGATGGCTTTGTGAACACGATGAGGAAAATACCAGGGTTGCAAGAACACCTCTTTCTGTCAGGTTTGTTCAATAGGCTGAAGCTCAACCAATGCTCCCATCCAGCAGAAAGGGAAGTGCACTCCAGCATGAGAGCATCTGGAGAGGACAGGTGACATCCCCAGAATCCAAAATTGCTAATGAGGACACTGTGCTTTCAGACCACAGCTTCAAATTTGGGCTGTACTGACCTCTAGCACCTCTCTAGGGAGGGCTCAGGAAAATACTCAGCACTTCCAGAGAACCATGCTGAAGTCAAGCTTTCTGGCATGACACTGAGAATAATTTCTGTCTGTTTTTTCTTCTGGTTTATAATTGTCCTGTGGTGGGGGAAAGGGAGAAATAAAAGCCAAGAAACACAATCAACTGCTAATGCAGATGGGACCCTGGAAAACATTTTTCTATCCTACAAGAAAAGGAGAACTCATTCAGACACGAAAGTAGGCCTGCCTACTGGGAATTCACTTTGTCAACATTTGACATTCTTAACAAGAAAGCACATCAACAAGAACCACAATTTGTAACTATACATCTTAGAAACATATTAAGCTTGATAGCTCTGTTAATATACTTTCCCTTTTCTTGCAGCATTTTCATCAACGACATCTTTCTTAAAGAGAGCCACAGTCAGGGGCTGTTGACTTAGCTGTGGGAGCTGGAACATACTGACTGACATTATTTCAGAACAGCCATTACCCTTCACTCAGTGACGTAAGCCTGTGGAGAATAATAACAGTACAGTAGCACTTTACAACAGCACTATAGCACTAATATTGCAGTAGTATAATAATAGTAGTTTGACCACTTTTGAAGGTTTGTGCTAGTTCTGCAGACAGGTCTGACTTCTTTTTGCAATTAGATACTATGAAAACACAATGGAACCTCCTCTCTGATAAGCCATAAATTGTCTGAATCCCGCAGATCCAACAAGAGAGATCCAACACAGAGAGTGTTATGACAGAAAGAGTTATGGAAGAAAGACAGGGCAAGTTGCTGCAGTCTGGACAGCACAACCCACCTACGAACACAGAAACCTGGAGGAGGCCAGCCAGCAACACAGCTTCTACTACAACACATCGCACTGGAAAATTTCTACATGGGAACTGTAAGCAGGGTCAAGCATACAAGCCAACCTCTCAAGAAAGACAGCTGAAGGAAAAGAGACACAACAGTGTACAAAACCGAAGCACAGGTGTAAGTGCTCTTATGAGCAGTGATACAAAGAGCATTGAGCAAGTAGCTGTCACTACAGCTTCCTCAAGACATAATGTTCTATTGAATTTCAGCTCCATACTTCTTCCTAAGATGTGTTTTCCCAACATTCTTTATGCAAGACTCTTTAGAAGGAAACCTATAGCACTTGTTTGTTTTTGAAAAGATATTTGTAAAGTATTAGTTATTCTCAAGAGATATTTCCCTTTTAAGAAATATTAGAAAAGCTATAAATGACAGTTGGGTTACATTCTATCTATCCTCACAGCTTTAAATATTTTCACTGGCAACGCTCTACAAACACCTTGTAGCCCTTCCTACTATATTCTAAGACACACAAATAATTTCCTTGATACTAGATAACAAGGAAATGACACTACTGACATATAGAAAGCATAACCTTTGAGAATGAAGAGCTCCTCACAGAATTATGGTAGTTGTAGAAAGAAAGTGAAAGCAACAGCAGAGCATGTAGTAAGTCTGAACAGCACGAGATGTTTTATTCCCTTCCGTTTTGCTCTGTCTGACAGCATCTGGATAGCTGAGAAATCACAAACGTTATCCCCAGACTACAGATTGCTCTGTGCCTACAACAAGTATAGTTTTTGAACTTATCTCTATGGAAGCAAAATAAATATATGAATGAATAAATAAATAAACAAAAACGGAGAAAGCAACCTTTCTTTTCCCATAACACAGTAAAAATCTGGATATGGAAGTACAGTTGTGAGAAGACAAGGTGAGGTAAGGCACTTGAGATGTATTTGCGACATAGGTCACAGCCTTTCCCCAGAGGTATGAAAAAACATCTGTTCCCTAGAGGACTTGTGCATAGTATTGCATGGGATCTATTTCTCTTTCCTCTGTGAGCAGAGAATTGACAATATTTAAAATAATAATAATAATAATAATCTGGTATCAGCTTTGCTGATAATCTTTTAAAGCATTCCCTTTGCTTCCTAACGCTGGTGCACATCAGAAAAGCATCAATCACTCTGTGTGACCAAACACATGCTGAAATGAGACCATACACTAATTTTAGGATTCAGGGAACTGGGTTCTGTATTTGTCCATGTGCCAAGACTGTTCAGGGATACAAAGAAACATGATCTTATTCTGACGACCAGCACTTATAAGCAAAATTCTGTCCCTTGGTCACAACTTGGACTCTGCCTTCACACAGCATTTTGTGTGTACAGACTCTGAGCAAACCTAGCTTGGAAGTCACCCTATTCAGAGATATTTCCCTGGGTAAGAAAACCTGTTCATGTGACCTGGCCAGAGGTACTTCAGAAACATAAACAAGATTTAAGTTGAAATACACGTAACTGAATTCAGACATCTGAACTGCGTCGAACTGCATCCTACAAGAGACCTCCACTTGGGTGTATTTCATGTCTTCCAAAAGCAAAAAGGAAACCTTACTGCTGATGCTGCCAATGCAGAATTAACATGCCTGCTTTCTGACAACCCCAAATTATGCAAATACACGTTATCTTTATTGGAACCTACAGCAAAACACTTAATTAAAGTAACATTAGTAAGTGAGGAAAAGTGCGCATATTCGTTCTCATAGGAGCATGGGTTAAGAGTTCCAAACCCTGAAGCTCTTGGAGTTGTAAAATGGAGATACAAGGCAAGAAAGAACAGGAAACTCTAGAAAAGACTTCCTAGACTCATGAATAAATTCATGATAGACAGAAAAACAGGTACCCTCTCTGGTCTTTTCTTGTCATGCATTAATGGTGTCTCTTTCTTCTGCTCCCTACAAACACTGACTCTACTAAACAGGGACAATGCAAACATTCCAACTCTGCCTTGTGCTCTCTTCCATTTAAAGCCTACTCACTGCTCCACACCCGTTGGCCATAATTCTTGATCCATACTGCTGCAAAACCAGTACTGTTCCTGCTCTTTAGCAATGCTTTGGCGGCAGCAGCAGACAAGGTCTGTGTGAGCTTGCTATGTCCTTCCTGAGCGTCACCAAGAAAAACATCTCACAAGAGCCAAGGAAGGTTGTATCTCACTTGCTCAGGTGCCTGCAGGAAGGAGGAGACTCCATCAAGACAGGCTGGAAAGCCAACAATTAAAGAGCAGGCAGGCTGGTAAGGCACAGGTCAACACACTACTGGTACACATGGCCTGGTCTGGCCTGGCCATTACTAAGGGCAACCAAAGGCAACCACAGAGAAAAATTCACCTGCTTACCACAGGTCCCAAACCACAGGCCACGACAAGATTTGGCTGGAAAGCTGTGGGATAGTGCCAGCAACAGCTACTCAACTTCCAAAGGTCCTGCTCAGCAGGGGCTGTTGGTGCTCACCTCGGGCTGTAGTGTGGTGTGAGTGGATGGAGAAGAGGGGGTTATCTAGCATTCCCCTCTTGTGCTACTGCTGCAGGCAAGGAAGATACAGACAGGTGGAAGGAAAAAAAAGTCTTCTGTCCTCAAGGGCTGGAGGGTGGAAAAGCTCCCCGCCATTCCTTACAGAAGAAAAAGAAATGGAACGAAAGAAATACCTCAAACACGTACTGAAATCAGCATTATACACTGCAAGACAAACAAGCCCAGGAAAATGTACAATGGGAATTCATACTGTATAGAGTGTATTTCATCAGCCCTATAGCATTTCTGTTCCACCCAAAGGGTGTTAACATGTCCTGGCTGGGATTCAGACATTACACATCAAAACAGACTCCTTCCTTTGGTTTCCATGCAAGGCTTATTTTCCCTCAGCAGCAAAGACATGAGTTGTTGTTTTGTAGTGATCTCAGGCACTGTTAAAGGTAGCCCTTGGATTTGCAGACTAGAACTGCACCAAAGAAAAGCAGAGATATCTTAACACAACAGAACCAGGCATCTGACTTGTGCTTCTGCACTGAGCTGCTATGAAACAATGCTTCAGCTTCTCAGCACCTACAACAAGGTTTCTATTTTACTGGCTATTATGCTGAATACAAACACAA